TTCTGCAAGCCGGAACTGTTCAAGCCAACCGTTACTAAGTATCCACTCTGTAATTCTCTTCATGTTATCCGGGCTGTTCATCATAGCTTCAAAAGACCTATCTTTTGCCTGTCGTAGCACCTCTCTTCTTCCCCTAGCCCACTGAGGACAAGCCAGGACCATATGTTTCACGTTTTGTGACAGATATCCCCACTGAAGTTTTGGATTTGCCACTCCAGGGACCTTCCTTCTATGTAGATGAGAGCTGAGGCCAATATGCTCACTTCTCATCTGTATTGCAGTACTACTTTGGGCCCTGCTCAGGTTTCAGTGGATGTTAGAGGGGGGGTTCTGCAGGTGATTCTTTTTCTGCCTCTTCTCTTGTCGGTGCTGATACTTGCTGCTTTCCAATGTTCTGGGTCTGCCGACGCCTGATAAGGAGATAGTCGCACTTCCTTGGAAAGTTTCCATGCGCTTTCCCACTCCTAGAATGCTGCTACCTTACCGGCTTCTTTTTGTCCACGCCTCGCCTTTTCGTTCCTGCAGATTTTGGTCCACTCGTTGGTATCTCGGCTTCGATTCTTGGCGTGGCTATTTTCGCCCAGGCTATGAGCCTGCGATATTTTACTAGACGCGGATAGAATCGTCTGCTTGATGGGTTGTCTTTCCGAAAGTCCGATATGTTGAACTCTCATTTGTTTGAGGTAGATATCTAATGGAAGGATTGAGCATTCGTGATCTAGAGCTCTGCTGTTGGTGCAATTATATGGCCCTGTAACTAGCTTCAAGCATTTTCTTTGGATACCTCGCAATGGTTTGAAATACAGTAACTTTGAAAGATTACGTGAATAATTTATTTGATTTACTAACTACAAAGTAGATTAAAGTTGTGTATCAAGGAAATAATGGCCCCTCAGTCATTGAGGTTGTAGAGCGCTTTGATGCAACTACCGAAGTGAAACTAAGTACAGAATTTGCAGTCACGTGTATATCAACAACGTGGTCCACTTGATAGCCCCGATCATTCTAACTTCCAACATTGTGCCTATATTCTTTGAGGGAGTTTCCCATAAGAACCAATACACAACTTCAAACAATTTTCCTCGCAGAGGTTGAAGGCATCGACCTGAGGGACACCCCTGAAGCTGAGGACGATGACCTCAAAGATTTTGATATATTTTACTCGGGGCCTATGAAAAACACGAGCTAACACAACATAAACAAGCCAACAATGAAAGTTGTTAGTGTCTGCATCTTAGTGGCAACCTCGGGTATAGTTTGAGTAGCCTGGGCACCTACACCACTTGGGAAGGAAACACCTCAGATCACATTTCGCGCGGAGAAAGACGTTGAATGACAAAGGCATGTCTATAAATTCGGGGGTTTGAGTAGTCTACCTCGGCGGGTATTCACGAATGAGGGCTGAGTTGGGGTGAAGAAAGAGCCACCATAACTTCGTAGTGGTACTGGTGAATGAAATCCAAGGCGCGAGTGCTCCAAGTAGAGTCTTCTATCGTGTAATTTTTTTCTGGTACTGTATCATGGCTAGATAGCTGCGTGCGCGATTAAAATCTGAAGCAAAGAAAGGATGACCGGTTATGAACGGAAAGGCCAAGCCAAAGATTGGGAGGGTGTTGAGGGCTCACACGCATGGTGGCCGAGTCTGAAGAGGAGATTACGCTTCGGCGCAGAGTCGGGTTCTCTGGACGTTTGGAATCGACATGTTGAGCGGATTGGTAAAGTCTGAGGTGGTCGGATGATTCGGGCGAGACGGGGTCATCTGCTTTGTGGGAGTTGACCTGATGCAGCTCGGTGTCGGGGATGATGGTCGTGGCCATAAACCGTATGATGAAAATATTAACTACGGATCTAGAAAGGCGTTCAAGGTGGAGAGGACCTATATACAACTTGCTTTTACAGGAGAGACATGGGTCCGAGCGCTTTTGCTAATGATCTACTCCTTAATCTTAGTGCATCTTTTTTAACCCATTTAAGTATATTGAGCTATAGAGCTATGACACATGACCGGTGCTATGTATACATATTGGATGACTCTTTTGACGTTAGAGACATTCATGCTCTGAATTTCATTTGCAAACACCACTATGAGGTATACTTGCTTACACAAACAGTCGACCCTGCTCAATAAGTATCCACCAAAGGGAATTTCAAAACCTTTGGTTATCCAAGCATGCCTTCGTCATCCATGCATACCAGCGCCGCGAGAAAAGTGGTTGTATTTAGCTGGATTTGAACCAGCCATCTACTGTCTCAAGTGGGATATGTGTCCAAGCTATCCAAACTCTACTTGGCAGACCGGCTAAGACGATGTACCACAACACCATCCAGCCATAGTGGTTTTTATAGTGTCGCCTGCACTCTCGCTACCGAAGACTTGGCGCGCACAAAGCACAATTTGCAAATACTCCTTGCAAACATTCGAGATTTCACGCCCGTCGAGACTGTTCTTATCCTCTGCACCCTCTGCATCATCTTGTAAGCTTGTCCTATTTCCTCTCACGCCTATCCTAAAGAACTGTCTTCCAGATTTGTGCGACACGCTTTGCTTCCTCCGTCGGGTGTAAATATCGGCGTGGGCGTGTATCTAGCGACCAGCGAAGGCCAGAGAAAATCGACAAGAGATGTGATCATTGGAAAGAGGATGTACTGGCTCGTATTTGTAGTCTTGATGAGGCTTAGTTAGGAATTGATTTCGTTGGGAGTGAAAGATTGAGATGGTGGAGTAATTTGACTAATTGCCTCGTGGGCCAACTTGTTCGGTATTACGAAATTTGACTGAACTTGGCTCTGGGAGAATATTCCACTCCCGGGTTCGTAGAGGACACCATGTACAGGTATTCGGTCTTGCCCTCCGATCTTAGTGCATGTTCCAACTGCTAAACACAAATGATCGCCGCTTGCAATAATTCAACTCCGCCTCGATGCTCTTGCTTCGTTCCCACACACCCAGCCCCACTCGTGCTCATTTCCCAGCACGTTGACATACAAAACAACAAACGTGCTGGCTTAGACCAAACCAAATCGGGCGTTGTGTAATCTTTTCGACGTGCCAGTGTGCAGTGAATTGAGTAGATTCAAGACCTTTCCGAGTCGATGGCTGTGAAGGAGTGTGAAAACCATCTACCCGCCTCAAGGCCTATTAGTAAGTTAAAACTCGATTTATTGCAACATTTACCCATGGATAATGTGGGCGGAGAGGATTGAGCCTACCTGCACGAGACAACAGATGGTGCTATATCACAGAAAAGACTGGGCAATGGGAGGGATGTGAAGCTGAATGAAAATCAGAAACAGCGCGGCTGAGGTGAGAGAGAATGATTCGATCTCTCTTGGAAGCTGGGGAAGATGGCGTTCATGAACCCATTAACTCGTCCGTTCTGATAGCTGCTGAACCATGTAAGCCGTTGTCAGTGTAGGCTCGGGGAATGCAATGTTTGAGGGCGTCCAAGTGTCACGGCCTCGTTACGAGATGCTTAAATGATCTTGTCACTGCAGTATCTCATTGCAAGTCTATCATGAACCAAATCTCGGTGCTGAAGACTACGTCAGTATACAATCTTGGGTATTCCCTTGAAGCTTGGAAGATGACTTTAGCGCTGCTCTATAGTCTTTTACATAGTAGGGACTTGAATTACATTCTACTGTATTAGGAATTCCCCTTCGACAAGGTTCTCTGTACAATTTCTTTAACCCAGACTCTTTGACGGAAACCTAGATGACTCTCGATACTCTTATTGGTACTAAAAAATGTAGCTAGTATCTTACTTGTAGATTTTAGGAGTCCTCTGTAGTCATTGACTCCGTTAGGACTATAAAACAAATCTAATCTCGGTACGCTTACCACTCTCACGCGCCGTCATTGTGCCTTCAGAAAGAACACAGAGGATCCACCAAGATATTTTCTAGGAATACACCTTGTGTCTTTGTCTGCGCTCGCCAACGTAGACTGTAGACATCCCTCGGCTCCGCAGCTGAACGACAAGCCATTGACCCTCCCAAGACCCGTGTTTCCCGAAGCTAAATCCCGCGGAATGTAGCCCAGATCTGCATCGGCTCGCTGCCAAGTGGAAATACGACCGACTCTAAGCTCAGGAAAATGCCAAGCCGTGACAAAAGAAGATGGAATTGAGCATCAGTGACAAAGGAGCCATTATCTTGATATGCTGGCGCAGATGGAGCTAGCAAGAGCTCCGTCCCTTAAATTCCTTTTCACTATCGACCGCATTGTTGCTCCAGCGCCTGCTCCTCGAACCGTGACCCTCCTACAGCACGATCTTTGACCATGACACTGGCTGGCAAGGGGATATAGTGCAATTGTTGCCGAGGGCACGTATTTTACTCTGCTTGAGAGTCAGAATGATAGGAAAGGGGTTCAGATTATCCCCAACACACAAACGTCTCTCACATTTCACCATCCTGGTCATCACCCTCGCGTTCACACCTACACCAGTCATTGTGATAGCGAATAGATATATTCCCGATTTTGACGAGGAGAGGTCCAAGAAAATTTTGGCAACATCTCGTCTCAGCATTTAATTCAATACCTCTAGATCTAGAGCTTTATGGCCTCTGGAATAAGTTCAAGGTTTAGTATTTCTAAGCGAATACATGTTCTAGAAATGTATCTTTAATCGTAGAGATCCTGTGGGCAGAATATTATTTCACTTATGAAGCTGATATTCCTCAAACTTTACTTTCGAGCCCTAATCTTCGTGGATCCCACACAGCCCGGGACGACGAGCTAGTAGAATTTGAGCCTGTTGCGCGCGCTATATGTTTGCAGAGATTTACTAGAGCCTGGGCCTCTCATAGGGGAAAACTCAGGCTTGCACAAGCCAAATGAGTAAAACCGATACTCATAATGAGCACTAGCAAATCTACAACCCCAGACCAGTGCTGCCAACCAAACGAAGTGGCAGTATGTTCAGATTAAGTACTCGAGACTCAGGAGAGTAGATAGGTGGCACCAGTATAAGACACGCCCAAACCTTCAATGGTGCTCATTTGCCACTGTAGATTGGTCTCCTCTTTTCCACGAATGCCTGCAAGGCTTCATTGCGATCTTGGGTATCCAGAACCCTTTCATACATTTCCTGCTCGACCTCTTCCCGGGCCCAAGTTACGGCTTGGAGGGCGGTACGAACTGCCACCGGGCCACCCTCACATATCTCAGTAGCGAGCCTCTGGGCTTCACGAAGCACCAAAGGGCGTGCCCGCGCAAGCAAGTCTGCCGATGCTGCAGTGGCCGGAGGACCATCACGCGCTTCGACCTCGACCAGACGATCAGCAAGGCCGAGGAAGTAGGCCTCGGCGGCGCTGACACGGCGGCCAGTGAGAATAAGATCACGGGCGCGCGCGAGACCAATGAGAGCGGGCAGTCGGTAAGTGCCGCCAGCGCCAGGAATAATGGCGAGTCGAGTTTCTGGGAGACCGACTTCGGCCGTCGAGGCAAAGACGCGCAGGTGGGTGCAGAGAGCTAGCTCGAGGCCACCGCCGAGGGCGCGGCCGCTGATGGCCGTGATGCTAGGGATAGGTAGGAGGGAGAGCGAGGTGAAGGTTTGTCGCAGACGCGCGAGAAAGGCCGTAGTCCTATTGGCCATTGTCAATCTGGGCGTACTGATGTAGCTGACAATGGGGATAAGGATACTCAGAGGTAGAAAAGCCACTACGCTCCTTCAGATCGGCACCCGCACAGAAACAACTATCCACCTCACTAGTCAGAATCAATGCTCGCGTCGGCCCCTGCACATGCGTCTGCGTGCCATTGGTTCGCCATTCTGACACTGGTCGCTCTTGGCCATTTTTATCGTACTCGGCATGAATTTCATCGACGGCGCCGGAGAGTTCGTTGAGAAGCTGCTTCGAGATGGCATTGCGCGCTGCCGGACGGTTCTAAGGGGGATGAGAGATGTTTGGATGAGAACACGTCGTGGGGGTCAAATGAGGGCACCAACCAGGGAGAGAATGCGGATGCGGCCCGTGTTCGGCGCCGGCACATCCTGGATTTTTATTGTCGGCAGCTGTGAGGAGAATTTTCGGTTGAGCATAGGAAGCGGACGCGCGCGTCTTGGGTGGATACAATTGGTAGGCCGCATAGTTTAGGTCTGGGAGGTTGATGATGGACTGAAAGATTGCTTCATTCTGTTTCAGGCTACGGGAACTATCTCATATATCACGTGATCTAGACTTGGCTCCCGAGAATTATCAACCAACGAACACGATGGGCACCAGGCGCGAGCATCTCTTGTGGGTTAATAGCCCTGAAGACAACTGGGAGCTCTCGGTGTTATGATATTGAGTGCATACATCACTGTTGGGTCTCCATCCTCACAATCCTCGCACACCCTAATCCCAGCTACTACTGCCATAACAGGCTCGACATCTAGGTTCGCCACAATGAATACCCCTGGAGTCGCTTTATTGAACGGCACAAATATAGTTCTAGAAATGTTTGAAATATATTCATTGGCCAGTCTTCCTCGCATGTTTTTTTGCATCAAGTTTTAATTGCGTATTCAGCTATCTAGCCATGACAGAACGCCAGAGAAAAAGTACCCGGCAGATGAATCATCCTAAAACAGCACTCACGCCTCGGCTATCATCTGCAAGTAACACTGCAGATTTACGGCGGCTTCTTCTCCACCCCAAGCCAGCCCTCATGCATCAACTTGTATTTGCGCGATATCTGGTCCAAGGCGTCTCCTTTCCAAGCTGAGGAGGTGCCCGGGCTACTCAAACTATACCGGAGATCACCACCAGAAGGCTAACTACGGCAGCTTCCATCGTTGGCTCTTACAGTGTGAGCTGCACTCTCGCATTCGAGGTCTTGCCGCAGACAAAGCTCAATTCGTAAATCTCCTTGCCAAAATTCGAAATATCACGCCTGTCGAGACTGTATCCTTCCGTTGCGTCATCCTATGAACTTATCCCGACTTCTCTCTCACCTATCCAAAAGAGTAGCCTTCCAGGTTTGTGCGCCACGATTTAGCTCTTCTGGCGCGTACAAGTATCGGCGTGGGCGCATATTTGGTGGTCAGATGGGCCAGAGGATATTCGACGAGAGGTGGGATCATTGAAATGAGGATGTACCAAGTCGTACCTAAAAGCTTGATGGGGCTTTGCTGGGAATTTCTCTCATTGCGAGTGAGAGATTAATCTGGTGAAGAGTCTTGAATCAGTGCCTCGTGGGCCGAATATCTCGGTTTTGCGAAATGAGACTGAACTTGGGTCTGGGAGAATATTTCACTTCTAGGCTTGTAGATTATACGGCGGGCAGGTGCTCAGTCTTGCCTTCGTGCAGCACAGCTTTCACGATATCACTTGTTGTCGAATGACCTAATGACTTAATGATCTTTCACGTATTATCTTGTAGATGATGACTAATTATGTTGATGAGTAATGAGTTAGCTGTTTAGGAATGGCGTCAGGAGAGAGGGACAACTGCTGTATATACGTGTTTGCTTTACAGGACAAGAATAGGAGATATATGTTAACCACCAATTGTTATTACTGCTATAGAAAGCTTGTGATATAAATACCACACGAGTATTCCGACACTTGTCCTCTAGCTTAGAGGCCATGCATTTTCAGAGGCCTCGACGCTTCCATGTAGCGTCACTCCATGAGTATCTATTAAACGAGAGCGAGCTCTTCTACCGAGTCGTTTCCGGTTTGTGTAGTGGAGGAAATTGTGATGTTGTGTCCTTGTCAACAAATCAGACACTTTCTAGCTTTGTGGTACCACTACTTGTAAAACCGCTGTCGGAGACGCTGCTTGGTTAGCTAATTTTGATCTGTATTCATTATCCTGATCTGGCGCCGTATGGGTCCATGTAGGTGGCAATAAACCTATCTATATATTTACAAAGGAGGGAACCTCTCGGTGAAACCCGCCAAGCTTTCTGATTTCATTCTTAGAGTTTGCAATTTATCCTTCAGGAAGCACAGCTACACTATAGCGCCGTCGATGTGTACCAATCACGTCCCCTCTATCGACCCCAACCTTCTTCATGTTCCGTCTCGTTCCGTGAGCTGCATTTCGACTGCATTTGTCACGCAGAACTGTTCTATCCAACCACGAATAAGAATCCATCGTGTGATTCTTTTCATATCGCTGGAGTTGTTGGTCATTGCTTCAAAGGAGCGATTTCGGGCTTGTCTCCAGATTTCTCCTCTGCCGATTGACCACTTGGCGCAGGACATGATCATGCGCTTGAGATTTTGTAATTGGTAGCCGCACGGACAACTTGGCTGATAAACTCCTGCTACTTTTCTTCTGTGTAAATAAGAATTGAGCCCGATATGCTCGCTTCGAATTTGGATTGCTATGCTACTTTGGGCCCTCGACAGGTTTTTGTGGAGAGAAAATGGGGGCTCCCGGAAGCTTATTTTAGTAGGTCCAGAATGGTGGCATTGGTAGAACTTTGCTGCTGCCCAAGTTTTAGTGGTCAGCTAATTTATTAAGTGGAAACCCCTCACATCCTCGTTGCATAATTTATGCAAATCATTTTGTATTACTGCATGACATATCAGGTTCTCTATCCGCCGTATCTTATTCTCCGCATATCTTCCCCCCTGACTCCGCCAGACGTAAAACAAAGATCTTCACCCCAAGGACTCTACTTTTGAAAAATATGCATAAAATGACTCTTCCTACTCAGATACCCTACCATATAGCAGATACGGTATAGGGCATGGCCCTCATCATCTATTGGCAAAAATTAAGCACAACAATATACAAGATTACTATTAACTTTAAAGCTATTTAGATAGTTTTAGCTGTCCTTAATAGTCATAGACTCAGTAGGGATATAAATAAAATTCTATTCTATTCTATAGCAGATACGGGATGCGTCTTATGACTAGACGATATATTGTTCTTGAGGACTATATGACTTGTGGGAAAATCTTAGATGCTCGAATGTACTTTAATTATACTAATGGTAACCATTGTGACCACAATCTCCTATTTGGGTAGACGGAGCTCTACAAATTGCTTCCTTACACAAAGCTGCAACCGAAGTTTCCTTCGAGAATCTATGCAAATTCTCAGTACTACGATGTAGGATTTTCTCATCGTTACTCAACTCCTGACCACCATCCTGTCCTCTAGTAACTGGCGACTGAACTCTGTTCTACCTTCTCAGTAGTATGAGATTTGCGTGAATCAGGCTCATCTATTCTGACACTTACGTTCAAATATCTATCTCTGAATGTGGATCAAGTTATTTAAACATCGTATTCTCTCAAAGATACCTCTGTTCTTGTGTTCGAGCCAAACGAGGACAGATCCCGATCCTAGATGGCGATATTTAGTGAGTAGGGCCTCGAGGTACGAACTTATAAATCTAGCGAGATTATTCGTATGTTAAGTAATATTGTCGACTTGCTTCAAACTCCGCCACCACTGCGTGGGCGATGCGTCACCAGTAAAGGGGACACAACCTATTTTACATCTTCTGTCCCTAGTTTTTGTTTAGAAAGTATCGTCTGGTGTCAAATTTCTCTTAATACGGTACTACGTCCAGTACGAACCTCTGGAAAAGTCAAACTGGAGGCTCCCCACCTGTACGGCACAATCTTTAGCCATAAAGTGATCCAATGATAAAATAATTGGAAAATTATTGCTGATAAGCTGCATAATCACTATGCCAATAATTCGTACGTAACAGTGAGGATAGCAACAATTCTTTTGTGGAATAGGTAAGCTAAGATCACCCTGACACTGACGCGGTGGAGGAAAGTAGATTGACTCGTGAGATAACAAGTATTAAGAATCACTAGTGATGCAGCGTTAATAGATCATCCTCTGTTATTATTGGTAACTCTATTTAGAGTGGTAGACGTCTTTCTCATCCGAATTTTATTTCGGACCGTTGGCCTTATTTCCGGAAATACCTCACCACTTCGTTGCGATCTGAGGGCCGATGTTTTTCGCATACCAAATATTTCACTTGCTCTCTGGGTAACATCGCCTGTAATGAGTGCGTGAATCTGTATCCACACTGTTTCGGCGCGTATTGCAGCATCTGTATCCATTTCGTCACAGTAGCCCTCGTCGACATCTATCTCTCGAGTTGATTCCTGATCGACATCTATCACGGAATCTTCGCCTTCCATAGATCTAGATAGCGATGATGACGACAATATCTCTCGCCAGCATACGTCTAGTATATCAGAGCTGTCTATCACCATGACGGATGTGTCAAGATGCGGCGTGTCCTTACATGCTGGACGTGCAGACAATGAGCCTGAGATACTGGAGCGTTGAGAACGTGGTGAAAGTGAGAGTCCCAATTGATAGTCAGTTTTATTTAAGTGGATATCGTGGGGAAGTTCTATTCCACGTGGTGTGAATGATGTTTCGTGTGATATATCTAAAGACTGGTTCCTAGGTGCCCTTGTATCTTGTGTTGATTGAGCTACTGCGCTACGGTACGAGGGGAGAGTTGATGAGTAGGGATATGTAGATAGGCTTGAAGAAGAGGTGTCATGTTTATGTTTGAAATGACAAGAGGACCCCAAGGCGCCGGGCATCGTACTGTTTGAGGGTTCGAAGTAAATGTATGACGAGATATAGTCCAAGGGCCGTTCATATGAGGGAGTTGATGGTATTGCAATAGAATGATAGGGACACCCGGGATGAATACGTATGATAGATAGCTCTGCAGTATAGATATTGTGCAGTGTTGGGGAGAGACTAAATTTATATAGATTGGTCGAGGATGCACTAGGAAATGACAGGGACGAATGATTACGAATGGACGGCATGATTTGTGAAACCAGTGGAATCCTGTTGTGGGGCCTCGAAATTCTTGCAGCCTGAATGGGGCCGCGTAGAATCCGGATCGACAACACGGCCGCTACTCTACAATGGACGCTAGCAGCAGCAGTTGTGGCAGCGGAAAGGTCAGAAACTTATGACTCTTGTTCTTCACGCCAATATTGCCAATGTGGTTACGACCTTCTCTATCAATGATGGGATTCAGTCTTTGTCAACGGACCTCGGTATCGAGAATTGTCCGCGGATCGGTCATGTTCTGCACTGTGCCCAGGCCATGGGTCGCCCGAGGCTTCGATTGGGCGAACGAGGGCATCGTAGTCGATGAGAGCCACGGCGATCGTCAGCGGCTCTCGTCGTCCCGCCTCCATTCCCGCGGACCCGGGTGTGGACGAGGAGCACGCGCGCGTGCGGATCGACGGGGACGCGTCGTGGTCGCGGCTCAAGCCTGGATTGAACGACTCCTCTTTGTGCTGCAGCCACGCTGTGTAAACACGGGCTCCGAGCGTGTGTCTCTGGGCTGTCTGTCTGAGGGGAAAGAGGAGCACATAGGGGCGTCTAGATTACAAGGAGGGTGGCATAATGCCTGCCCTACTGATCCACGCCTCTGTCGCGGAGCCATGCGTGCGCAATGTCGGTCTCCACCAATATACATGGCCTGCGTCGTAAACTCTCATGCAGGCTTCTCGCCGCCGCTCCCGCTGGATTGTCGCAGGTTGTGCCATCCTCTTGATTGCCCTTCAGTCTTGGATGTGTCCCACCAGATAGTGTGCTTCTTGGTATTCCCGGCAAGCTTGTCATCAACGCTATGGCCCGGGTCGTGTCTGGTCTACAACTTCCGAGCTTCTGTCTGAGCATGTCAGACATCCGACTGGATCTCGATTCACGCTGGGCACGCCGAGGGCGAGCGCCTCCGTTCCATGACAGGTCGCCATGGTGGCTCCCCACCGCTTCGGCTGCCTTCGGCACTTCCTGTTCCGATCGCCGCTTCTGTCATGCCTATTCCTTTGCATTCACACCCTATGAGCCCGGCCATGCTGATAGATCCCAAAGCTTCAACTTTCTCGCCCGCATTTCGCTCCTTCGCCTTTCTCGTTGTACATCCGTCGCTCCTACTCGTAAACCGGACCCACTCCAGCCATGATTTCCAACTTGTCTTGTCACGTCTTGCTCTCAGCTACACCGCTACACTCTAGTGCCACTTGCCATCTTTGCTCCATGCTCCTTCATGTCAGCATTGCTGCCATTGAAATTCATCCCTAATTTAGCTATCTCCATGCTATGATTTGCTTGCCACGTTTCCTGACCTTACCTTGATCAATCATGAGGAATTTGTCCACTTGCTAATCAGGGAGCAGATTCACCCTTTAACGCCGTAAAGACTTCCCTGCGAAATGCATCGATATAGAACCAGCACCCAATTTCGAGTCCGACGTTTAACTACCGATAACGGGAGTACTGTGTCTGTGCACTTTACGTATGATCACTGTCTCAGAACTGCGGCAAGCTGTTTTGACATAGAATAAGATACTCTTCTATTCCTGGCTAACCCTTTACGAGAGCCTTCCTTACAAAAATGCCTTAATTAGCTACATTTGATCCACATCTCTTCATACAACATCTTTTACAAAGCTATAGCCCCAAAAAATGTGAGCGTGATAAGCATCACCGCGATTGCCAGGGGTCTCAGGTCAATGGAACCCTTGTTTAGGCTATTGGCAAGACTGCTAGATTTGGCAGTTGCAGACACGGCCCCAGATCCCTTCGTAGCTGTACCAGTAGACGCACCGCCAGCGTTTTGCGATCCAGTTCCTGTAAGACCAGCACCTTTGCCTGCGCCCTTCGACATGTAAGCTGAGGCTGCACTAGGTATGGCCGGAAGCGAGTCATCTTCTACGTTCCAGTTTGCTGATTTACTAGGACATCCAGACGCTCCGCCGGTGGTATTGTACCCACCATCACCACTTGGGTTTATAGTTTTCGCAAAGGCTGACTTGAGGGCAGCAAAGTCTGGTCCTTCAGTAACTGTGTTTCCGCTGACTGTCACTAGCCCGTATTTGGATCCTTCTTCGGTATATTCGTATACAAGGCCTCCAGAGTAAACACTAGTCATCTCGGTGCTGTAAAGAGAAGCAACTTCCTGAAATTGGCGAGTGTTTGTGTTACAGCCATATTCCGATAGGCTTTAACGTATTAGTAATAGTAAGAATTAGGATATTGAACCTACAAAATAGGAATTCCGTATCCTGTGAAGTTTTTGACTTTTTGATCCCAGCCTGAGGTTGTAAACGATGAAGGATCACACCAGGAGTAATCATTGAAAGCAAAAAAATCACTTCGCTCGTCATCAGGACCACAGTTCATGTACTGTGCCATCTCACGGCGGTTAGAGTCGACATCAGCAGCAGAGTATCCCACAGGAATTTTTCGGTGACCACGGCTGCCAATATATTGTCTCATATCACGTGTGACAGCTTTTACGTATGGTGCTGACGGTGTAGTAGAATCATCGTTAATGACTTCATTGCCCGAAAAGAAGGCAAGAGTATTGGGGTAAGCCGCAAATGCGTCTATTGTCGCAAATATGTTCTGAAGATAAACGGCATTGTAAGATGGGGCCGGGGTTGCACGGTTGAGAGAGTATTTGGGTGTGTTAACATCAAGGACTAAATAAATTCCTGCGGCTGCAAGAGCGTTCATGCAGGCATCGTGGTTGGCAGTGTTGTCGACTGTGTAAATACGCACGGTGTTCACACCTAATTCTTTAAACTTGGCAATGTCGCGCTTACAACTTGTCTCATCAGCTATGGGATCAACTAGCTTAGATGATCCACCAGGCTGGTAGTCAATTCCACGGATATAGAATCGGCTGTCTCCCTGAAAAAATGCTGCATCCATTATTAGCAAAAGTACATATGTAATATGTTTTGATAACAGTACCGTTTCCTTTCACTGTTATTGACGTTATCGGTTTGGAATCGCGAGAAAACAAGGAACCTGAAGATGGTGATATCAGAGCTCCCGTCACCACGGAAATGGCCGCAATTGCGTGTGATTTCATTTTGATGTTAATTTTCAATCGTGATCAGTATGATTTTGCTAGTTTAGTTGTTCAAACTGTTGCAGAGATAGTCAACTGGCAGGATGTGGTAGAATCAGAAGCGTAAATTTCAGAGTCTACTTTTGGTTACCTCTAACGATGGACTAAAGTAAATCTGGAAAAGGTAGGCGCTACAAACGAATGAGAAATGATGAAGGGTTGTTGTTAGTGGTATTTTGTTCAGGTTTTGAAGAGAAGTGACGAAAGAGCAAAGGGGAAAGCGATGTTGTTAGCTCGTTCCAAATTTGGAACTGATCAGGGGAAGGCCTGACCCTTCGGCAGGGGCCAAGGAGAACCAAGCAGCTAAACGGGGCGAGGGGGTTTTCCTCAAACCTGCCCCTGCTTCGTAGGCCATAACGAGACATAATCGGCACGATGACGAAGCTTAGGTGTTTGGGCGGATCGGTAAGCACATTTGCTTTTCCCCAATCTCTTTGTGCAACTGAGCCCGAGAAAGACTCCGCGGCCACGATTTAGAAGCTCACCTTCCACCACAACATTCATTTTCTTGTCCATGCATTGTTCGTTCGTTCACCACCAACCCTCCTTACAATTAATCATTTCATTTAGTTCAGGCTTTCTGCCCGTTAACTATATTTGAAGGCGCAGGAACGCTCATCCTCGTAGAAATCCCTGCGACTAAGGGTCCGTCACCTCAATCCATGTAGGCTTCGTCGTTGCCACATTGTCGTAATATCTAAAATTTTAATCAAAGACTAATCTCGCAAAACGAGATTGGGACGCGTGATACCGACGTTCCCACGCACCAAGCAATGTGTTGTGTCAACATGTCGCTCACAATAGGTTCTGTGCGCCTACTTAATGCGATAAACTGCAGAACAGTTATCTAGTAAAGGAGTCAAGTACTTTAAATGAAACAAATTGATAGTGAGTCATATTTAATTGCATTCATCTAATATCTCTTGATATAGTTTGCCGGAACACTTCCAAACCTTCCACCCTTTTCTACCCCGGCCCATCCATCGCCAGTATCTTCCTTGACTAGAATAAATTCTTCTCCCTCCATCATACTAAATTCAGAATCACTTTGCGCTATGTAATCATACAAAGCCGTGACATGTACGAGCTTTTTAGCACCTGGCTTTGGTGCAACCGCTGGCCCCTGTTTCTTGGAGGCCCCAAACGAAGAGCCTGAATTGGAATGCATCGAGACAGGGCGCAGGGTCAAAATTTCCATGTAAGCAGTCGGAACCAAACCAGTATCTCCCCTAGAAGTTTGAACCTTTGTCCATCCCCCGTCTATGAGAATTAGCAAAGATCCTTAGAATATAATGAAAAAGGTGATCACTGACCATCATCTTCAAGGACTAAGATTTCTTCTTTTTCTGAGACCGTGATCTCATCGGCTCCATTAGCTTCGTAAGTATAGAGCATTTTCGCTTTTCGGTCGTTGACACTATACCCATTAAGCCTGTGTTGCGCGACAATGTTACTGTCAGGCACTTGGCTAATATATCTAGAAGGTGGTGGTGCAATGACTCGATTCTTTCGTAACGGAGGCACTTCGTTAGATTCATTCAACGATATTTCATTTTTCTGAAATGTATGATCTTCCATAGTTATTCTAGAGTTAGACCGTACCCTATTGGTACTGGCTACATATCCTGAACTGTGAGAATTCATTGTATTTGTGCGGCTGGTATTGGATCTTTCAATAGGAACATCTACTAAAGTCACTGTAACAGGGTTCATCGAGTTTAGAGCTTCTTGTCTCTCAGTTTTGAGTTTCTTCCTCTGTTCTTTGTTTTGTGTACCAGGACAATTCGCCGGAACCTTTAACTCGCATTTAGCGTGGCATCCATAGCCACAGTCTCGGCAATCAAAACCCTTTGCTGATAAACCCCACATCCGGTCTCCACACAGATCACAATTTGTAGGGATTTTAAAAGTCTGAGATTTGAGGTTGTGACTTTTTGCGTTCAGAGTCACATCACCGATTGTGTTGGTGATACTAGAGGATTCTATTTCAGCTGTGAGGCGCTTTCGTTCGAGAATGTGCAGCTCTTCTTGTTGGTTGAGAAGAGATCGTATGACTTCAACTTCGTCTCGTTTTTCCTTTCCCTCCCGTATTCGTTGCTTCAGTTGAATTGTTGAGTCGACTTCCCGTTGTTTCTTGTCTACTTCTCTTCTTAGATCGCCTAATTGGGCTTTGGATTTAGATAACACGTTCCGTAAGAAGACTTTTGCGGCTTCATCTATCACCATAGCACTATCATCGTGCCATATAGGACTCGGGTCGAACTTTTTTTTGGGTGGATCTTTCCAGGGTATAGCATTATGTGTGACAAACATTATAGAGTCTAAATGTGGTTGGTTGTACGTTATTTTTTGTGAAAGCTGCCCAATAAGTTCAGTACTTCGCACAAGAAGCTCAGTTTCAGTTTGGGTTGCAAGCGTCCAAATCTCGTTCAACTTTATCGTTCGTGATTCTGCTAGATCTTGTAGACTATCCAATAGCTGAGGTACATACTCATGATAGTATTTATCATTATGGGCATTTAGAACATTTATTGCTATGAGATAACTGTTTTTGGCATTATGCATCTCCACAATTTGCTGATGATATGCATTCTGGGCTTTTAATCTAGAGTGTTCAGAGGATGTTTCTGTCTTTTTGCGCTTGCTTTCGACTTCTTGGCAAGAATTATCGTATTTCAACTTCATCTTCCGTAGTTCATTACTAGCTAATTCCCGCTCCGCTTCTAGTTTTCCTGCATACTCGGCATAACGTTTACGCATATCTTCAAATCGAACTCCGAGTATCTTCAGCGGATCTGCTAGGCGGGTTATCAATTCTGTGCTGAAGCGGTCATGTTCTGCAGCTCGAGATTCGACTGTGTTGAGTTGTGTCGCCCACGTAATGAGAGATTTACTGCATCCAGCATCATTAGAGATAATCCCTTATGAATGTACTGTTTAGTGCTGACCTCTCTAATGAGCCTGGTGTCAGAGCTGGTGTGTCGCCAACACTTAGGCTGCTAGACTTTTTTGCTTTTTTCTCATGATACTTTCTCGCAAGAGTGTTGAGCCTTGCACCGTATTCTTTTTCGATCGCACTTCGTTCTCGGTAAAACTGTTGGATATCATCTAGCCAGCTGATTCCATGTGCCGCCCAAGAATTAACCGATTTAAAGGCATCCTAATAATCCTATTCATTAATCAAGCACCGTGAATGCTTTACAGGCACATCTCACCCGAAGTTCAGTCCCAAAATTCGTGGCTATACCTTCATCTGCCATGGCAATAGAGAGGTTGTGAAGTAATACAAGAAAGTGTCCATAGGACCGGTCATCAGCTTGGAGAGATATTCACAGCCTTGTTAAACCGGAAGGATCGGCTATAATTTTGAGTAATGATGATCATGCCTGAGAAATTTACGGTAGCCTCGCATATAATTGTGCTCACGAAGGAAACTAATAGGATACAAAGACTTTTCTTACATAATTTTCTTAACTATCTGCTCTAACTCTACTTACCATGGCAGAGCCTGAGAATTCTATCAAGTCTGCTGATCAGACTGAAGATCAGAAAAACGATGACAACCCACCAGCAACAGATGAAATCTTGGAATCGCCCGATAAAACGGCTGCCCCGCCAGCTAACGATAATCAACCAGAAGAAGATCAACAAGCAGATGAAGATGCTCCTAACTCACCACATATTGAAGATTCAAAGCCTAAGTCTACCGGATTAAACCCTGAAGATGATGATTACGAAGTAGTAGTAAAGTTAAGTGACCTACAAGGAGACGAGAATAGTCCTCTATACTCTGTCACTAGCTTCGAAGAGCTGGGAATGTAAGGCAATTAACAGCAAAATTGAGAATATTATTACTAAAAAAACAATAGAAACCAAAAAATTCTACAGGGTATTTACGTCATGAATTTTAAAAAACCTTCAAAGATTCAAGAGAAAGCTCTGCCAATACTTCTTCAGGAAACTCCAACAAACATGATTGCCCAGTCGCAGTCCGGCACGGGGAAAACAGCAGCGTTCGTCATAACCATTCTTTCACGGATAGATCATGAAAACCCAAAATCGCCACAGGCACTTATTCTTGCTCCATCACGCGAGCTAGCGCGTCAAATTGAAGGAGTCGTCAGAGAAATAGGTCAATTCGTCGATGACTTGACAATCCAATGCGCGGTTCCAGGAGCTGTGGAAAGGGATGCTCCGGTCGAAGCTATGATAGTTGTGGGAACCCCAGGAACGGTAAATGATCTCATAAGAAGAAGGCAGCTTGACACAAGAAACCTGAAAATTCTTTGCCTGGATGAGGCCGATAATATGTTAGATATGCAAGGACTTGGTGACCAGTGTTTGCGGGCTAAGAGGCCAGTCTATATTTTTTAGCTTTTAGACTCTTGCTGACTACCGAATTAGTATGCTGCCTGCTATCACCCAAATTCTCCTGTTTTCTGCAACTTTCCCTGATCAGGTCTGGGAATACGCAAGACAATTTAGTCCTGAAGCTGTTGAAATAACGCTGCAGAAGGAGAATCTAACTGTCAGTGGTATCAGCCAGATGTTCATTGACTGTCCATCTGATGCTGGAAAATATGATGTCCTCGCTCAACTTTATGGAATGATGACCATTGGCTCCTCAATTATTTTTGTTAAGGTACGCTCAAAGTATCTACCTGACATAGTCTCTCCTAACGGTACTAGAAACGAGAAACAGCCGACAGAATTACTGATCGTCTAGTATCAGAAGGTCATCAGGTAGTTGCCGTTCATGGTGCTTACGACGGTGCGGACCGTGACAGGATTCTTGAGGACTTCCGGGCCGGTCGTGCAAAAGTTCTTATCACTACTAATGTTCTCGCACGAGGTATCGATGTTTCAACTGTAAGCATGGTGATAAATTATGATATCCCAATGAAGGGCCGTGCAGATGAGGAAGTTGACCCAGAGACTTATCTGCACCGAATCGGAAGAACTGGTAGATTTGGACGCACAGGGGTCAGTATCAGTTTTGTGTTTGATCACCGAAGTTTTCAAGCCTTGAGCTATATCGCTAAGGTGTACGGTATTGACCTTGTGAAATTAGATCACGAAGATTGGGATCAAGCCGAAAGGATCATTCAAACTATCATTAAAACTACGCGTACAGCATAATAGGTGATTTCAAGAAAGAGATCCTCAATTAATAATTATACCCACAATACTTCTCAAATATGCATAAGTTGGTATTACTCAAGAACATTTGGGTTTGCAAATGGCTTACTTGGTATACCTGTGATTAAACAATCCGTCAAATTGAAGGAAGTAGTCTCTAAACATGTGTAGACTATAATCTGCACCTATCTTGAGCTTTGTGACCGATAAGTCTTCAGAAGATACGTAACATCTTTACTTTATCTCTGACCAAGATATATTCCCTCGTCAACTTGTTAGATTCATTAGCTCAATTCGGTGTAACGAGCAATCCATCCCGTACTAAGAACTTCGAATGTAGTTAATGTAGGTAGAATAAAAGTTACCCTTGCCATATACTACACATTATTAGAAAAAGTTGAGAGAGCACCAAGAAAATGCCCAAGCCCAACACATTATGACGTTTAAGTATCCTTTAGGTCCAACCATCATGCAGTCACAGTCAAATTCTCTACTTTTCAAGTTATTCTATTATGGTAAAGTGTCTTGTTCAATCGGTATTATCTCATAGACGAGCATTAAAGGATTCTTGAGCACGTTTCGTTAATCATAGCCACAACTACAGATTAGTGAGCTCTATCTTGGAGGGCAATGTCCGAATATCTGTACATGATATCCCCTACGAGCCTGGGAGTGGAATATTCTCCCAGTGCCAAGGTCAGTCAAATTTCGCAATACCGAACAAGTTGGCCCACGAGGCATTAATTTAAAATACTCTACCACATCAATTTCTCCCACCCAACGAGATCGATCCCCACCAAGACCTCATCAAGTTTATAGGTACGACTTAGGACATCCTCCTTTCAATGACCACACCTCCCTTCGACCTTCTCTGGCCTCAGTTGACCGCCATATACAAGCCCACGCCGACATTCACACCCGACGAAGGAAAAAAGCGTGATGCACAAATCTGGGAGAAAATTCTTTTGAATGGGCGTTAGAGGAATCGGGACAGGTTTACAAGATGATTCAGATAATGGCTAAAATCTCGACAGGTGTGAGGTTTGGATTTTTGATAACGAGTTTTACGAATCAAGCTTTGTGCATGCGCCAAGACTTCGGTTGCGAGAGTGCAGGCGACACTATAAAAACAAGCGAAGGATGAAAGATGTTGTGGTCCGCCTCCTGGTGGTAATCTCTGGTATAGTTTGAGTAGCCTGGACACCTACTCCACTTGGGAAGGAGACATCTCAGATCATATTTGGCGCGGAGAAATGTTGAAACATGATGGAGGCATGTCTGAATAACTCAGGGTTTTTGAGATATTCCCCTGAGTGGGTATTCACGGATGAGGGTTGACTTGGGGTGAAGAAAAAGCCGGCATAACTTCGCAGTGGTACTTGCAAATGAAATCCGAGGCATGAGTGCTCTTCCTTTACGTTGAATCATCTATTCTGTACTTTTCTTTGATATTGTTTGTTTGTTTGTTTTCTATTTTTAAGTCCTAGGATATAACCGTTTTCCCCAGAGGGTCAAAGACTGGGGTTTACAGCTAAGATCATATCTATGACATGCCCAACTTGTTCCCACCACGTGAACCGCTACTCAAATTGTAGCCAGTTAAACTACATGCAGCCATATACAAAATAGAAATCACAACATAACTCCAGGCTCCAAAACTTTGAGCTCCAACTAAATATCGGCACTTGTGGTTGGGAAGCAAAACTTCTCGCCTTGTTCCCCTTCCGATCGAGTCATGTTACATGACTAATTTATATGGACCCCGCTGAGAGCAGAGGTCCAGCCTGCAGCTGATCACCCATAACATCGGGTTTTCTGTGCAAAATTTTTGAATGCTTCGAGGCACTTGGGTCCTAGAATTTCATGTATAAAGTCGTCGTGGGACTTAAGTCCTCGTATTCGACGTGTTTCGTGAGAGTGGAGCCGACAGTGGATAAAGTGGGTTGGGCTTGTCTCTTTCCCACACGCGCACTTACTAGGTGCGTCTGCATTGTTGAATCGGCGATGATAGGCCGCAAAATTGCCGTGGCCCGTACGGGCCGCAATTATTTCGCGTAGCAGATGTCTTGATATGGCTAGTTCAGGGGGCTTGCGCCGTTTCATGAGCAGATCTAGCTTTCGATACCGAACAGGGCACGCTTTATCCCACCAATCGTTGAGCAAAGCCTGTAGCCGGTTATTCATGAGACGGCGAAGGTATGCCAACGAAATGGTTTCTGGTTGGTTGTCCGGACTGGGCAGCATTCGTAAGCCGAGGCGCGCAGTAGCGTCTGCTTCTTCGTTCCCTTGTATTCCAGAGTGACCGGGGATCCATTTAATCGTCACAGCAGCGGACGCTGAGAGTATGCGAAACTAACGTACCTCTTCGAGGCTGGTTGAAGAGATGCCCATCTCAAGTGCTTTTATAGCATGTTGACTATCCAGAAAAACATTCACTCGCCGGATCGTCTCTCTCAGCTGCTGTTGCGCTTCTTTAAGTGTCAACGCCGCCTCAAGAGCCTTCAGTGCCCCTGTGATTTCTGCGTCCAAGACCTTTCCTCCGTGTCGGATACCATTCTCCTTGAAAAGAGTTTTACCATATCTCTTCACAACAAAACCCCAAGCTGAACGTCCGTTTCCCTCCGAAGAGCCGTCTGAGTAGGCGCAAATTTCCGATGCGGGCACGTTGTCTATCCAAAGTTTGCTTGCTTCTTTTCCTTCTGACTTGGTCATGTATCTAGCAGAGTAGGATGGCGGCGGCAGAGGCATCGAAGCTTCTGCATCCGGAAGTTGTCGATAGGCACGCTGTGCACGAGTCCTTTGTCTATCTATATGTTAAAACCTCCGAGGGTTTTCCTTATACTTTCGAGTCCCAACGTTTGGGCACATCGCAGCACGAGATCTCAGCGGGTGCTGATCATCGAGGGTTTTTATTCTGGCTGAAAATCGTAGTCGGTTTCCCTCTAGAATAATATTTACGGGAGGGATTCCTCCTTCCCTGTGCAGGTCCACATTAGGAGTAGTCCGCAGAACTGGAAGTACAGATCGGAGACCCATCATGTTGGCCTTATCGATCATAGTACAAAGTCTCGCGGTAGCTGGCGTGGCTATTCCTGCTCTTGTTGGGCGTTTGAGGCCGGGCCACCAGACTTCCGCTCCAAAAGTCGCGATTGAAACAATACAACTATTTACTGCTCGTATCAGCGCTCCTGGTGCGGCTCCTCGAAAAGTACAATTGAAGCGTCGCATAAGATGTGCGACTTTCATTGCTTTTCCGGACCACGTCATCACATGATGTTTGAAGTTAAGACGCGGATCGAGGTAAACTCCAAGCCAGCGAACTTGTTCAGCTGGTTCTATGAGAGTGCAGTTTACGTAGATGCCAACTGCTGCCTCGCGATGCCGTGGTGGAAATTGTACTACCTCTGACTTTTCTGTGTCGAATTGGACAGCATTTTTCTGAGCCCACTCCAGCAGGTGGTCGACTTCTTTCTGGGCAGCTGCAGCAGACTCAGCAGTGGTGCGGCCAAATCCAAGAATGCCGATGTCGTCAGCGTAGCTAAACCTTAGATTAGGAGTACCACTCCGCATTGGCTCTGCCATGTATAGAAGAAAGAGAAGAGGCGAGATCGGCGAGCCCTGAGGGACCCCACAAACTAGCTGTCGCTTTGTCGTGACTCCTTCCGAGTGTCGGACCTGTACCATTCGTTGTGCAAGGAACGAAGTTGTCCACTTTAGAACTGAGTCTGGACATCCTTGTTCTTGCATTCTTCTCACTAAACGGTTATGAAGAACTGCATCGAACGCACCTTGTACGTCTAAGGTGACAAAAGTGGCCACCCACCCTTGTGTGCGCGCCTCCTCGACATCGTGAACTACACAGGAGACTAGGTCTGTTGCTGAGCGCCTCGAGAGTGCGCCGAATTGTTGCCGACCAACTACATCACATATCACTGCTAAGTGCGCCATCCATTTTGCCAGAAGTCTTTCAAGCCCTTTACTAAGGCAAGAAAGAAGGGCAATTGGTCTCCATCCTTTGACAGTTGTTGGGTCCCTTTTAGGCTTCTGTACAAGTACTACTTCGGCCAATTTGAAACAAGTCGGATGCGTACCGAGCTGTATGCAAGCTCTGAAGAGCTTGACTATACAGGGCCCAATTGTCTTCCAGCAGGCCACTAGCAGCTGTACGGAGACTCCGTCTGCTCCCGGAGCCGTGTTTCCACAGCCGATAGTTTAAGCTCGGACTTCTTCCTCGGAGATGCCGTCCTTCCATGGTATACGGTTGTTACTCGTGGCGATGCAAGGCGGCAGGTCGTCCGATGTTTGGTGTCTTGCCAGGAGACAGTCACGGAGAACTGTGGCTCGCTCTAGTGGATCAGAGATGAGAGCTCCGTTATGATTGAGGGGTGGTGGGATGTTTGTCTGTCTAGGCCCTGTCAAGGTATGGGTACGTGGAAGATTGACGAGGTCAAATCTGGTGAATGAGATTGTCTACAAGGAGGAAAGGTGGTCCACCTGAGGCTAGAGAGTAACTAAATACAGACGCGTTTGCGCTCTACGCGATTCCCTAATCACACGTGACCCTATCTAAATGTAGCAATACCCTAACAGGCCCAGCCATTCTCATCAGCTTAAAAACATCGTTCGGCGTGTTCATTCTTTCCACCTGCTGTGCTTGATGTTCTTTTTTGGCAGCTCTAATAACTGATCGAAGCTTTTTAGCATACACTGCACGTTGAAGAGGTGATTCTGCCGCTCGATACTCAGCCCGTGCTTCCTTGCACGCCGGGGTCCACCACGGGGCTGATTTACCGCCGTTTGCTCTGGGTCGAGTTCCTGATGCATTGATGGCAGTCTTAAGCTTTAAGCAAAGCTCCTGGGCATAGTCTTCGACCTTTTCGATTGTATCTAAAACTGTCGGTAGACAGACCAACTTATTAACAGCTCGTGCAAAGTCAGGCAGTCTTTCCTTCGTCACTCGAATCTTGCCCAAGTTGGGTCTCAATGTTGCGGACTGGACC